ATTCACATAAATTGAGGTTAAGGGACTACATTTTTTGGTTTTTAGGACTAAAATTGGGCACCAAAACATAATATGGACTACATTTTTTATTTTTAGGACTAAAATTGGACACCCAAACATAATAGGGACTATATTTATTTGTTTTAAGGACTAAAATTGGGCACGAAAACATAATAGGGACTACATTTTTTGTTTTAAGGACTAAAATTGGGCACCAAAACATAATAGGGACTACATTTTTTATTTTAAGGACTAAAATTGGGCACCAAAACATAATAGGGACTACATTTTTTTGTTTTAAGGACTAAAATTGGGCAGCAAAAAATAATGGGGACTCAGTCTGGATACCCCATAAACATGGAGGACCAAAAGTGGACTTTGTCCATTCAAAAACTTACAACTTTCTCGCTTTTTTTTGTACAAAATTATCAATCAAGTCACCATAATCAAGTTTCGCAACCATTTTTTTTCAATGGATAATATCGCCCCATATTGTCTACACACTTTACTATCCTGTTGCCCTTAGAATTTAGAAATTAGAATATAGAACAAAACAAATGGGAGCATCAATTTTAATAAACCTGATGGAACACATCAATTCGATAAATTAGAATTCATGTTATCAAAATTAATATATTTTAATTGTTCTTCAACCAGAGAATCAACAAATATGCTTGAGTGCTTTCAAAACACATATCAATCAACAAATCACAATAACCAAATTCGACACTCAACAGACAAACGGGGAAAATGTGTAGAAAATATAAGAAAAAGTTCCTACCGAATTAATTGAGAAGCTCAGTCAGCGGCGGCGGCGACGATTATGCTTGAGGCGGTTGTGATGAGGGCGGAGGCCAGCGTTGGCCGTCGAGGTCGAGCAACTAAATTCCACGGCAGATTTGAGGAATTGGGTTTATTTCGTAAAGTGAAAGTGCAGTGCAAACAAAGACTAATAGAACCTTTTGGATTTAAGGAAATAAATTGGGCCAAGCTCAATACAAAGGTATGATATATAAATTAACACATATATGTGAGGCCCCCATAAAGTTGAGGCCCTAGGCTAGAGCCTTGCTCAACTAGCCCACAAGCCGGCTCTGGTGTGTGTGATGGGGTGGGGTGGGATGGGGACCTCCGGTTGCAGATTTAGGGTCGTCCGTCTGAGCGTGGGGTAGAGTTCTTTGTTTTTGCTCCAGGTAGGCTTGTTCGACAGTTTTTGGATCTACAACTAGGGTCGTGGCTCGGTCTATGTGGGTGATCGGCCGTGGGTGTCGCCGTGTGTTACGCTCTGAGAGGCTTCCCGACCGAGGGAATGGCTTTACCCTAGTTATTTAGCTTGTTATGTGTTTGTATTTTTGTGTGTTGTAGGTTTTCGTGTTTTGTATTATTATCTTGTTAGAGATTGTTTATTCTCCATTATCGAAGTTAGGTAGATTATGTATGTGTTGGTAGGTGCATTATTTAGTAGCGTTCTAATGTAGGTTTTAGGCAATCTTCTAATCTTTATCTCTCACTAGATTCAACTCACAACCGCCTTATTTGTTGCCGGACTATTTTCTAAAATGTACGTGTCTGATTAAAAAACAGGATTGCTATTTGTCGCCCCAAATTACTACTTATCGCCCGAAAAAAATAATAAAAAATGTTAAATTTACAAAAATATCCCTGTGGTAAAAAAAACATAAATTATTGAAAAAATATGCATTCAAACGTCTATCAACTAAGCTCGGAAGCGAAATAAACGTCTAGAAGCTAAGCTTGGCAGCCAAAGAAACGTCCAACAAGGAAGTCCGATGTGAAAACAAACGTACAAGAGCTAAGCTTGGAAGCCAAGGAAACGCCCAAAGGCG